CCATTCGTGACGTGCAGAGTTGCATTTTATGATTGCCGTGACGTTGACAAATGATTCGTGATTATACTTTCCTGTGTCATAATTGACAACCAATATCGCGATCAATGAATAACCGGTTAAGAAATATTGTTTAACAATTCTGTACATATGTGACCTGGCTAGATAAAAATATTATTTTTGCTGCATACTTAAATTTTCAATATTATATATGTCGTATAAAATCGATAATGAAAAGTATAAATTAGTAACAAAATAAGAGATAAATTTAATATCATAAAATTACTCATTTATTACTCATATATAATATTTTTCAATTCACGGTGGATTAATAAAATATATAACGATAGCGTACTTAATAGTGCATTCGCAATTACGATTTGTTTTGTTTTCCATCGCGAGAATGAATCCACTACCTTGCAAATCCCTTCGCTTCGTATTCCACAAATCTTGAATCGCTTAATACCTAAAATACGGGACCGCTTAACAGCGCATCGAATCCGCAATACACATGGATAACTGTGATTTATCGATGGGAGAGAATCAAACGATGCAATTCGACGGGTGTGTGTGCACGGTATCGTAAATTTTCGAATAGATTTACGATCGAAAGCGAAATCTTCCAGAAGGGACTGAAGATTTGTCGCCTAAATTATGCGAGATTCACTTGTATCATTTTACTAATTAAAACGTTAATCTCATCAAAAAAACAGAATGCAATCGAATTCTATTTTAATTTTCCATCTTGTTTTTCTCTTATTCATAATTATAAGCGCGTACGCACATATTTTGTATAAAAACTGTAAACCTTCCATGATACGTTTTCCAATAAAAAAGCAGCAACAAATCGTTAAATTTCATGGATAGTTTCGCATTTAAAACGTAAAGGTAGCGCGACGCTTACTACCAAAAGTAATGTCTTGCAAAGAAAAATCCGAAATTTTTCCATCACTTTCGACACCGACTGTGAAATAGAAAAATTCGAGATCTCCACGTTCTAAATTACAAGATAAATCATTTGATATTGACAGAGCTTTTTCCTCCAATTTCAATTGTGTATAAAAGATGGTTGTCCAAATGGTGGTAAAATAAAATTAATGTTCAAAAATGTAAGGATCCCTCTTCATCATTGTTTAAAGCTTAATTATTAAATTAAAAAAAAACAATTTACTTATTAATGTATAAAAACAACTGATATTTATTTGACTGTTTGTTTCAGGAATTTGTTCGCAAAAAACAATTTCTAGAACATCTTGTATATACATGAATAAGCGGTCACACGATTTTGTTGTTAATGTCTTCCGTTCTCTCTTTTTGTTCAATAATTATTTCATTTAATAACAAGAATCGCCGCGGAAATGGCTTTTATTAGTTCTATTCATGGCTTTTTACTGTGCGTTTCACTGTGCGGTATAAGAGAAAGAAGAGAAAAGATGTTTTCAGAGCTCGCATGCGACGGAACTCGCCCGGGAAGTCAAATCGTGCTAAAAATGCTTCTTTATAAAAGAGTTTCTTTCTTTAAAAGATACTTTTATTCACTTACGTGAAGAAATATACAAATCAGCGATAAAGAACAATTTATAAAATAAGTATCTCGTAATACATCACGTTTCCTGCAACGTGTATTTTTACATTTTACACAGTCACAATGCGGACACATTGACCCCATTTTAAATGTATATTCCCTATTCAAAATATAATAAATGCGACGCATAGACAGTCACGGAATGTCAAAGTAATCTAAAAATATCTCTTTATCGCATTACGTCACAATACATGAACAATAGAAGATAAATTCCTCCGGGACTAAGTAACAAAGCTCGCTTAGACAAAGCAGCTGGATCGTGCAAGAGGATTCGTCCTAAATTCGACTTGTCGCCGGAGGGAACAGAGGATGAGAGTTGTAACTATAGTAACACGTGTTTAATCGCGACTGAACCGCAAGAACAAGCAAAAGCACCGTACAAAGCAAAAGCTTCCCGACGTTAGTTCGGGACATTCCGAACAACACAAACGGACCGCCGTGGTGCGTAAGAGTGGAGCTGAGAGATTCGCGAACGTCGGGCACTGCGACGTGGAGCAGTAATTGTGCGAGTGCGTCTGCCGTTCTCCGACGAGGTCCGTACTCCCTCGCCGTACGTATGCAGCTATACACGCACGCGGGCCACGCAGGCACGCGTGTGTCCGCGGATCGCACGGCGATCGGCCGTAGCAGCGAGCGCGGGAGGTGCACCGAGCGAATGCACGACGCACGACGAGGCGCCTCAGTCGACCGCCACCCTTCGAGACCGACGGTTCGTCGCCGTTCTCCATCTCGTCGGAGAGAAGGAGGGGAGTCCACCTGTGTCGGAGTCCTGTTGTGTGTTTATCCTCTACCTCGCGCACGAGCATCAGCTCCGAGAGAAACGTTCCCATTGAGCGAGATTTCGAGGTGCGCGTATCTCGTTACGGTGTGAACTTACGAATCGTAGAGGGTGCGTGCTTACCTTCGTAGCGGTGCATTCGGATTGATCATTTCGCTGTTTCTTTTTCCCCTCTGTATCTACCTACCAGGGCGAATTATCATGCGTCACTACTGAGTTTGAGGAATCTCCAAGAAACGCTGAAACTCCAGAGGCAGAATTTAAGCATCGTGATTAGCCGCTTCCAATAGTGAGTATTGACAGAATTATTTTTATTTTTCATCACACTTTAATTAATTTAATTGTAGCAAGCGTTCTTTATGCTAAACATGCTTTATCCAATATTGGTACTAACTTTGTAATTTAATTTTTCTCGACAATGCAGGCAAATACGGTGTTCTCTTAGATAAATAATAATTTTCAAAAATGAATAGAAAAATTGAAGATTTTTGTATTGCATCGTGTAATATAAACGCTGTTACATATTTTAAAATACTGTTACTGCTACAAAAAAAGTAAGAGAAATTTCTTATAAAACTCTGGATTAAAAAAAATTAGAAAAGGTTAAAAGTTATAATATTTATGCACATACATTGTTAGCACGTTAAATGATTATTTATATTTTTGGAATAAATGTCATAGTTTATTTTGTTAAAAGCTGCAATTTCAATCAAAGATTTACATTTTCGACGGATTATTTTTGATTTGCTATTATTATTATTTTGATGTTTCCTCATTAATGCAGTTCATTAACATATAATATAAAGTGATTTAAAATGAATTTGTCGAAGAATTACTGCATGTAATAATTAGACTAATTAGGACAGTTCAATTATAACACGTAACAGAACATAAACACGTGGTAGAATATAATAAATATTATGATTTATAGCGGCAATTAATGAATGCTTTAATCGACAGCCAATTCATATATTAATAAATACCACGAATATTGCGATATCACGTACAAACGCCGCAACTATGTTTCGTACACGAAAATATGCAATGAGCATATTGATAATCAATGCCTACTAATGAATAATCGATCTATTTTTCCGATAATGAAAAATAACTTGGTGATGCGCGTCAAAAATTTTCATATTTTATTACGCGGGATTTATTAAAATCCCAAGAACACATCAAATTTTACGTGCGAATCCGTGTTCTCGTAATCACATGCATTATACATTAATTGTCTGGCTCGAGTCGGATTGAGAGAACGAAGAAAACGACGTCGCGTGTCGTCGCAAACGGAAGAAACGAGTTTCGAAAATGAGAACACGCAATCGTTTCCGCGAGACACTCGGCCGTAGTTAAATTCCAAGTGTCTTAGATCTTAAGAAGGAAAAACTGCGCGTGCTGTACGGATTACGTACAACATCCGTTTCACGGTAACAAAGAAAATCCGATGACACTGACTCCGATCTCCCTATTCACAGGATGCAAAAGCAATTCGCACAAAGACTTTCTATTCAACTATAACATCATACGTAGCATTCGAATTCTTTATCTCTCAGCCACCATGCCTCTTCCGTGTTACACTGAAAGAAAAGATTAGTTGCTGCAGCAAATTAGATGGTAAAATATATAAATTAACAGAAATTTTCAAATTGTATAAAAGATTGTCACTCAAACATATATATAATACACTCAAAAATTTAAGATGTGAAACAATCTAAAAGATTGACTGCTGCAACAAATTAGATAATAAGACATGGCATTTTTAATTGGCTGCAACAGCCAATTTTTGGTTGCATTAGCCAATCAAAATTCTATACTGATATCGCGAATAGGCTGACACAATCCAAAAATGGCTGCAGCAACCAAAAATTAGCTGTTGCAGCCAATTAAAAATGCTATGCCATATTTTACTATCTAATTTGTTGCAGCAGCCAATCTTTTAGATTGTTCCACATCTCAAATTTTTGAGTGTATTATATACATATATTAGAGTGTATTGTATATATACTACGACAAAGCAAAGACAATCTTTTATACAATTTGAAAATTTCTATTAACTTATTCAAAGTACTTCACTTTACTCTAATTTGCACGTTTTTTATTGCGTTAAATTAAAATTCCGAATAACAATGTTCCTTCAAAGATAACGTGAATAACTATTCGAGCGTAGCCGATTCTTCTTCTCAGGAAGCGACGGATTTCATTCATTCTCATTTCCGGAATTCAGTGCATTCACCGATTCAACCTGCTCACAGATGTTTTATCGGCGTGAAGATTTCGACGGTGCTTACGAGCATCTGGCGGCGTCGTGCTTTCCACCAAATTACTTCTACCCACTCGTGGATGAGAATATCGGGGAGAACATCACGGAATCGAAGCTATCTGGACCGTCGAGCTCGTTAGAGATGCGAAATCTGCATTTGTGCGCGCGTACTTTCCGCTAATGAGGATAACGAAGCGTGCGTTAACGGGGAACTAACGATCGCCATTGCGCCTGTGAAGGTGATCGTGCACAAGTGGATTCTTCGACGAAGATACGCGTTCGTTCTTTCATCCCCCGCATCACGAAACCGTCGTTATACGAAGAAACTTCTCGGGAGATCGAGAATCAGTCTCCGTTCTAAAATGAGGGTAATTACTTCATAAAAGTGACTGCTCTTCTCGATACGTCCTTATCTTGGAAACTTCAAACGTAACTTTTACGTAACTTTTCCACCAATGTTTCAAGATAAAAAGGATTGGGGTGTAAGAATCTTAAATTATAAAGCACGAGACGAAGCGAATGAATTTTATGCGTTGAAAATGGTACACTTCTCATAGATCGCATTTGTTTCTATATTTTATCTCGCGAATAACACAGTTTCTTAACTTTGAACACGTTCGAAAGTTCTCTCTAATTTTAAAGCGTAATTACTTACTCGAGTTGTAATTATTAACGCGAATGTGCATACCAAAGGACGCACGTTCGAGCCAGCGGTTTCACAATGAAATGTTCAACTCTCGAGTCAATATTGTTATACCTTAACGACTAGGAAGCAATTCTTTTGCGTTACGCAGGCAACTGAGAACAAATGTGGACACGTCTACGTGCGAACAACTCAGTCTCTACGTGCGGAAAAGATGAAACCGGATTTGTTAGACTTTCGCGATCGGTTCGTCGTGCTTTCTTTCCTTCGTTGTTTCTTCGTTGTCGACCGCACCTCTCACGGCACGTGTGAGAAAACGGATATCCTGCGGACGGTCCAGAAACGTGTAAAATATCGCAAACACTGCAGGAGGAAAGTTTTCCATGGAAAGTACTTCCGCACGATTGCAATGCAGATCGGATTTGTTTCTCCTTTATTTTTTGCGGGCAAAGCTACGTGACGTGATGTGCTTCTCCATTTTTACACATAAGCGTGGCGAAAAAAACATTTTTCAAGCTCGTCATATCCAACGATTCAACGAAAAGAATTTCGCCACATAAATTATTGAAGCAAATTATGACATAACGAAAAAAAAAAAAAAAACATTTATGATACGACGAATAAAATTATTTGATTCGATAATCGACTTCCAAACTTGATTATCTCTAATTTCCCCGTTGTACTTAATTTCCTTTCATGCGCACACAATGGGATGCTGAAATGACGTTTGCTCATAAAATTTCGCTTTAACGCCATAACGATTTTTCATGACGCTTGACAAATATTTCACGCTTAATTCGATTAAGAATGACGCGTACGTTTCGAGCGAGCGTAACAAACACGGCGATCGCGTGCTGCCGCAAAAGTTCATTAATTGCACCTCTCCATTTCAATTCTGCGTCGTGGCGAGAGTCTGAAATCGAATGGGCGCGCGCTCTTTGCACAAGCAAAGTCGTTTTTCGCTCGTAAATCTTAACCGCAGTTGTTTCGCCGCATGAAACGAACGAGCGAGCGAGTACGAATTTCGCAACTCGCACTACAATTAAATCGTATCGAAAGAAAATATTATCCGCGAACAGATACCGTCGAAATGGCTCCGCACCGAGTGGTTAGAAAAATATCGAGAGAAAAAACGGGATGCTGGTAGAATAAAGAGAGATCAATCGCGGCGTATCCTGAATTGTTAGGCCAATCTAATGCAATTACGACGGTATGGGAGAAACCGCGAGTTCGCGTTTCCCGCTGTTGGGCCGTAACGCGCACGCGAGAAATCGCCGGATGGCAGGAACGAAAAAAGGAGCAGTGTGGCAATAATTATTCCCAGCCTGCGAACCCCAGCCTGTGTATACACGTGCGTATGTATCTCGGTATCTTGAATATCCTTATCACGGCCGATCGGGATTAACACGGCTCGCATAATCGGAACGTGTCCGTGCAATTCGTCGCAATTTAATTAATTCGCCCGCGATTCCCACGGCAAATCGGGAACGAAATCGTACATTATTATTCGCAATTTCGTGTCGATGTGTCCGATTTTGCGAAATGCACTCTGAAAACACGTTCTCTAGATCCTTCGCGTTGGATATGACGAGCTTGAGAAATTTTTTTTTTTTTTTTATTACAAAACGTACCTTGATTCTTTCTCTTTCAGGATAGGACAAGGAAAGATAAAGTTCGCGTGATTCTATGCGCTTGCATTAGTTTTTGTTGTTTCTGCAATTCCGTTTATTTTCTAGTCGCGTCGTGTTAACAAGAGCACCAGGGACATTGACAGGACTACGTCGCTGGAAAAAAAAAAAAAAAAAAAAAAATAGGAAAGCGCGAAATCGCCGCGCGAATTCTGCACCACACATTTCACTTGCAAACAAAAACTTGCGGGACACTGGGGATTTACCGCCTTTTACCAGGATTTCTCCTCGCTTCGGCGATGGACGCGATTCATTATCGGCACCGATAACGATCGCGAGAGTCGACGTTTACCCTGTCGAATTTATTACACTCGATCAAACGTAAGCGAATCGCTGGTTTCCGTTGTGGCTTTCGCATATTTGCGTTCGCGATCCTGCGAGAGAACTGAAGCGTAAGTCATGACGATCGGTCGGCCGAGCGTGGATCGATCCCGATACGCGCGTAAAGTGTGTGAAAAATCACGATTGCGAAAAGGAAGCAAAAGATAGGCGAAAAGTAAGCGAAGCGAGAGAGTGATGACGCGTGGAAGCGCAAAATCGTATCGCATCGCTACGAATAAGCCGCCGTGTGTTTGCTTCTGACGTACATGGAAATTAGATCACCGTGTCACAAACACCTACGCATCCAGGATCCGCAATTTCGAGTCTCGCTGAATCAGGAATCACGTATCGAGATGCTATTTTACGATGGTTATTGAGGAGCGAATTGCGAAAGAGAGAGAAAAATCAAGACCACAGTCGATACGAAACAGCGCATAAATGTTGAAAATAATTCGAGGCAAAAATTAGATTGGATGGTCCAGCAGAGCGACAGCTTGCTGGACAAGTTCAACATCTATAATTAAGATGGCTTAACAAAGGAATAATGTCTGTAAGTAATTATCAGTATGCTAATTCAGCTAATTCTTTGCTACAATGAACATTGCTAATGTAACAAGTTTTCTTCATTACAACAGCAAAAGTCACGCAAAAGTACATTTGCTATGCTATTAAAATAAATATATCTATAATCGCTAATTTTATTCAGCTGTATAATTGTGCTACTTTAAGAAAACTGGCTGTCCGTATATTTACTGCAGATTTGCTGAATCAGTCAAGTTTTTTAGTTGGTTTAATATTTTAATCAATCCTTTTTTCCGTGAAAAAATGTAGAAAAATAATGTTTTTTTTTTTCAATACAACGTTTGTCCATTTGAAGAGAAAAATGTTTATATAATCAAGACTGTGAAAATTATATCTTTGCAAACGGGTTTGTCGACGTATTTATCGTCACCAGTGTTTGCTGTCTCTACCAACGATTACGTCTGGATTACTCCATGAAATATGGATGACACCGAATAAACTCTGTAACGTAACAGTTTCTTGTCGTGATGACTAGACGAATCGAGAAGTAATCACCGGATGATTGAGCTATCGTTATGATGGGTATATCTTTGATGTCTCCTTAGAGCATTGCACTTTTCCCATGACGCTCGTACGCGGAAAGCGGAATTGTGCGCCGACTTCCATCACTAAGTATAGCGGTAACTTTGTTCATTAATACGTTATTGTAGTAATATTAATTAACGGTAACTTTGTTCATTAATCATAACAAGTTTGCTGTCCCTATAAAGGTGGAAGTAACCGCATACAAGCGTATCGCGAGCTCGATTTTTTTCTGCGTAATTAATCCGCTACGCAGGATCAAATAAAATATTGGTATTGGTGTGTGAGGTTAAATAAATAACTTTATAGAATAATATCGATGATTTCGCGCCGCGGCACCGAAACGGAGTAATTTCATGGCTCTAGCTTGATTTTGCGCCACGCATGACCACAGAAAATTACATTTGTTCTCCAAGCGTGTACCGCAGAAATTCTCGTTTAATATTGCTAATGCACACATTGTGCGCGATCGGGATATACGGTGCAGCGCAGGATATCAAACATGGGCGCGGCCGCGTACGTTTATCGAGACATTAACAAATCGTGATGTCATACCCTTGATGCGATGAATAAACGAGGGGGGGGGCCATTTCCAACGACACATAGCGTCCTGAGCTAACATTGGCATAGTTTATTATACCTGTGACATCTAATGTTGCGTGCAATGGCTGAGCAATGGCTGTCACAGTATAGCCTAACGTTGATAAGATAACTCGAATGTGGCAATTTGAGGCTCCGGAATGCGTCACGAAATTAGAGGATTACTTCCCGCATGAGAAAGAGAGAGAGAGAGAGAAAGAGACAGATGAAGAAGGAAAGAGAGACAAACGTTGTCGTGACCAATTATAGCTCAGCGCTTCGGTTGCCATAACTTTTTCTCACTCCTGTCGGGTGCATCGAGATTACTAAAACGTCTTGACGCAATACACGTCAGTGGTACATTTGCATTTTGTGTAATCTAAAATTAACAGCTACCTAGAAAAACTCAGAGGTGCGAGTAAATGTTATGGTAAAATAGAAAAAGAAGATTCTTTTATATACTCTCTTCTTAGGTTCTAAACCAGAAAATTTGAGCAAAGTCAGCACGTGTAATTGCACGTTATGCGGTGCACATTATTTTCTAAGTGCTTTTCTTCTCGCGTTTTAAGAATCTCTTTAGTACGATAACATTTATGTGTAATTGCCACTTTTTCAGGAGAATAAATCGTAAAAATGAGCTTTAGCTTATCCTGCTCTATCTACATCAAACATATGAGGCTTGTTTTTATTCTCATTTTAATGCTTAATCTTCTTAAACTAGGTCTCATGTTGTTATTTCTTCTATTTAATGCACTATTGTTTACAAAAGTGTACATCACGTGTAAATATTATGTCGAGTTTCCCTAGTATAGCTTGGGTCTGTGGATTCGCTAAGTCCAAATGACTCTACGGATCGGTCATCCTTGCGGAGGCAATTGCCACTTGCCGCAAGAAGATGAGCGTTCTCTCTCTCTCTCTCTCTCTCTCTCTCTCGTTAGCTAGCAAAAAATATTGTCTCGTAACTCCGACCGTAATTACGACGAAGCACCATTACGGTCGTTTGCAATTTCGATTACTGCAAAACACGTAATGGAAATGATAATTGTTTACATCTTGCATTTCATATGTACTCGTACATGGAAGAATAATTTTACTGAAATATTAAAAAATTAAAAATTAGTTAACTAGATACAGATCTAAAAGTAATTTTGCTGGATCAAAATAATTATGCAGGAAACTCAAGTATGACGAGCTGCAAAAAGTTTTCACATTCCATCAACCAGCGACCTACATAATTATTTTAATAATCCAACAAAATTATCTTCAGAGATATTTCTGTGTCTATCTAGTTAAATCTTTAGATACTTCAGCGGAACTCTTTTTTGCGTGCAATGATTTTTTTTCTTATCGGGATCAAGGCAAATCGCTCGTTTGATTTTTTTTTTCAAACATTACGTCACTAGGCAATGTTAAAGAAAAGAAAATTAATGAAAAGGGAAGAGGAAAGAAAGAAAATCCAAACGATGCCAATGAGATAAGTAGCTCAGTTCTTTGAGTTTTATTGGTAGAAACGTATTTTCTTCTCCCAACATGTGACACGTCATTCTTTGTCGTAAATTCGACATATCGATGAGAGAGGTAAACCCGGCGAATCTGCACTGGTAACTGGTACGTCGGTGTTCGACATATATTTCATTGACGGAAAGCGATATCGCCATAGTGCCTCGAATATCACGGAGCTGCGAGATAACGGGCTAACGTTCGAGCTGTGACATAAAGTAAACGTTTCTCTTCTATCATACGTCTATCGACACTATCGGTTGGATTTTGTTGCTTAAGCTCACTTCTCTCTCTCTCTCTCTCTGTCTCTCTCTGAAATAACTTTCATTTCTCACCTCTACTTCAATTCTTTTTCGTTATATGTTGACTCTTTCAAATCCACAATAAACCATAAAAAACGTATTCGATTCCCATTAATCCTAATAGCGTGCGCTAAAATTTGGTTATATAGGGTAACTCCGGCAAATACATCGCGCTGGGATTTATGCCGCAGAAATAAAAAAAAATAGAAGGAGTGGGAGTAATTTTCCCCAACTACTTTGTTACATGTCTTTATGTTATATCAGCATTATATTGTGATTTCAGCTCTTTACCGTTAATATTAATAAAATTGTGAGTTGAATCGATTTGTCATTGTAATAAGTAAGGCCATCATAAATCATAATCTACATAAAATGATTGCTGTAGGACGTGTAAAAGACTTAAGTCTGTAAAAAACAATAAACGCATTACATGAAATATGTACCTCATGTAACACTTGTAATACATGGGAAGATTATAATTATTATTTATTACTTTATAAATATCATATTTATCATTTTTATTCCTTAATAAAACTTTATAAACGCATTTTATATTATAAGTTATTGTGTCATTTTACGTTTTATTTATATGCATTATTTGTAAACTTTTTATGAACCATACATATCCCTCATCTCTCTCTGAGTACTATGAGTAGCCCCACCCTTATGAGATATACGGCAAAAATGCAAGGGTTTAAAAATCCGAAAAGTACATTTTTTAATACGAAATATAAATATTTCGGATTTTTTTTTTCATAATAGCAAAACAGTACAAAGTACTTTACTGATATAGTTCATTTACTTTAAATATAATAAATAATACTTAATAAATTAAGTTTTTGATAGGTGCGGCATATATACCGGAGTTATCCTATAGCGTTGACATTCAGTAAATCACAATGAGAACGAAACCGACTTGGTAACTCGTTATCCAACTCAACGCGCACGCTTGCGCTTCTTCTTCACATTGTTAGATACAAAGCCGCGCACAGGTGACTGGTAATCAGATAACATTTAAGTAGGAAATAGAAATCTTGGTTACGCGCACGTGCTTAAAGGTTAAATGATTCCACCGTCGTTGATCGATCTCTGTGTTCGCGTCGTTGATTAAAAATCGATGAATGCATTGCTCTAACGGCTACATAATCGAGTTCCCGTATAATGGCCAGGTGATCGTCCATTGTGCACTGGTGGAATTAGTTTCATCGACGAGTATGTATGTGTGTTCGCACGTAACGCATCGCGTGCGATCGAAGAGGCCATTATACCGAGTTGTAGGAAAAATGTTCGGTGTCCATCGGGAGGGATTAGTCGACGATTGAACGCGGTACGATCGACATGAAGAAACGAAGAGGAGGAAATTCACCGATGTATGGTGAGCAACCGCGGAAGATTGCGTTAGATTGCGAGAGGAGAGTCCCATTAACGCTCGATTCCGACGATCTTTGAACCGGCATTGCAGCGACTTACGTGCGTACTTTAGCCGCACGCATCATTACCATCCTTCATTCCGCTCTTACGACCGAGCGAAGCACGCGTAGAGGAAAATATCGAAGAATCGTCTCGTTAGAGATTAATTAAACGGAGTCGCTAACTAGTCGTGACTAGGCACGATTCGACGGTCGGAATCATGTAGAAAGTCAGAGGTGTACGTAGAAATCGCTAATCGCGATTTTTTTTTCGCTTCTTACCGTTTCGCAGACGGGTAAAAATCGCGCTGTAGGAAAATTGGTAGCTGCGGGAGCTCGTAATCTCCGCCGTGTGATTACGTCGAAGAGGAAAAAAAAAAAGGAAACCACGCCGCGGGAAACTATGTCAAGGGTCGCTAGCTGGTTCGCGGCATCGCGCCTTCGAAAGCTCGAACTGCGATTATGTCTTGTGCGCGATGGTGCGTGCACCGGGTACCGTGTCTCTATAGTACAGCCCATAGTCTTTACGATCGGATAAATTCAGGATCTGGAATTTCGTTCGCAACAGTTAGGAACGGGACAACTTCCGTCCGCTTCGTAATCCGGATTTTCCCTCGGGTTGCGGCCGAAACTCGCGAGATACGTACTTAAAATAG